ACAATAACAGGATCACATATATCGATGTAAGTAAAATATTGTGTAATTGTTGAGTGAGAATTCAAAACTAATATTTATTGTTTTATTTTAGTACGGTGATTTGATGGGAGTCTCTCAAGACGTTAACATATTCCTGCAGAGGAATATGATAACGGTGATAAATCTGACGCTGGCCGAGAGATTGATTAAGTTCGAGGAACAATACGAGAACAATAAGGTCACTTTGTACGTGGACGACAATCCATTAATTTGCGACTGCAAGAATTACGATCTGTTTCGCTACTTCAACTTATCGATAGACCCGATGGTTCAAATCGTGATCCAGATCAAAGCCAGCGAACTGGTTTGCTCGGGTCCTCCGAATTTCGTCGACATAAAGGCTTGCGATGTTAAACCTCACATGGTCACCTGCAACGTTGAAGAGTGTCCAAGCCCATGCGATTGTGCCTACCAACCATACAAATCTCGTTACATAATCGACTGCACGAGTAGAAATTTATCATCTGTACCCGAGCTTCTAGCAGAGAAATCCAGCATTTACGATTATAAGTCGACGGCTGTGTATTTGCAAAATAATTCTTTGAAGGAAGGACCACGAAAGGGGTTGGGATACGAAGGGATCAACGTTTTGAATTTGGCGAACAACAATATAAGACGTTTGAAATGGATACCAAATAATCTTGACGTAAGTTTATTGTTGTTTGTGATTTAGATTTTCGTAAATTAATTTGTTTTTTTTTGCGTTTAGGAATTGAACGTCGAGGGTAACAACATATCGTCTTTGGAGCCGTCGATTCTTGGAAAACTCAATTTCACCAAAGCATTTCTTAGGAATAATCCGTGGAGCTGCGAATGCAGCGCTATCAATTTTCTACATTACCTCAAGGACTACGTTATTCCATTTAAGGTGAGCTATTTACATTGATTAAAATGGGAAGTTTTATTAAATCGATGGCTTTGTTTGTTTTCAGGGTGATATCAGGTGCGCAGTGGATGGAAAGCAGATTGTCACTTTGAAAGACAAAGATATTTGTTGGTGGCACGAGATGATGATTACCTTGCTCATCATTTTAGCTGTGATTTTCATAACAGTACCATCGATTATGATGGGCATCTATTACAAGTATAATCAAGAGATCAAGGTTTGGTTGTATGCTCACAACTTGTGCCTGTGGTTCGTGACCGACGAGGATTTGGATAAGGATAAGAAGTATGATGCATTCATCAGTTACTCGCACGTCGATGAAGCGTTTGTAGTTGAGGAGCTTGTGTCGAAGCTGGAGGATGGTCCGAATCCGTACAAGCTTTGCATCCACGTGAGGGACTGGATCCCCGGTGAGATTATAACGACGCAGGTGACGCAAAGCGTGGAAAACTCCCGAAGAACGATCATAGTTCTCTCTCCGAACTTCCTGAACAGCGTTTGGGGTAAACTAGAGTTCCGCACAGCTCACACGCAGGCCATACAGGAGGGAAGGACGCGAGTGATCATTATCCTCCTCGGCGACATCGATCTCAATTCGAACCTCGACGAGGAATTGAAAGCGTACCTGAAGACCAACACCTACATCAAGTGGGGCGACCGATGGTTCTGGGATAAACTGCGGTTCGCGCTGCCCCACAATCCAAATAAACGATCGAACAGGAAGTTCGAGAACATCAGTGTGAAGATCGACAAGATGGATCTGATGCGCGGCAGCATGTTGCCAAATCCAGGCACAACGCCCCCCGTTGACCCGTTGCTATCGAAACTGAATCCGCTCCAATTCAAGAGCGCAGACGATGCGATGGTTACGCCCCCCGCCGAAAGCGGAGCCAATCACATCTAGTGACTGCAACATTTTTTTTGTTGTTTATTAGACTGTTCGTGTACATGCAATAATTGTAAACTGTGACCTCTGTAGTTTTAAATAATGATAAGAAGCTAGTGATTATAGGACTAAGAAAACATATCTATATAATAAGAAATCCCATTTGTTGTATATATAAATATTTTTTAGATTTTATTATTGTCTACTGAGAATTTTTTTATTAAATAAATATGTTTATTTTATTTTATAACTACGCTACCTAATTTATTTTCTATTTACATAATGCATATAATGCTTTAGACATTATGATTATTTGAAATACTGATGATGAAATTTCAAACACTCAAGATTATTTTCTTCGAAATGTTGGCGTAGTCTCATATTAAAATATATATTGACTGCTTCTGTGAATATTGCGTTCTATTTAATAGTAGAGAACATTTCAAATACAGTGGAACCTCGCATAACGAGCATTTCGCTTAACAAGCAAAATGAATTGTACGAAAAATGACTCGCTTAACTAGCAACGTTTCGCATAACGAGTGACAATGAGAAGAGAAGTACCGGATTGCGCGCCTGCTACATCATTCTGTCCAACCATTATTATAATATATAAACACACTATGTTCGCTTTTTATATAAACAAATATTAAAAGTATAAAAACTCCACCAAGTCCCCGAATTGATACAAGTAATATAAACAAATATATATTCGCTCAAATATGTGTGTGAATCAAGTATATGGTGTTAGTGGTCATTCTAGTTGTATCTTAGTTCTGTTTGTGATCACAAAATTTTTAAACTTGTGTTCAGACTTGTGTTCAAAATTTAATAACACTGGCATGTCTCCGAATAACAAGCTAAGGAATAAAAATAACCATAGATATGAAAATCAAAATTATGAAAAAGTTATACTTTTTTTTTCTCCGGCACGGAATTTATTAACGGAATTTACATTGGTTTATATGGGAAAACGTGTTTCACTATACGAGTAAAAATCCGGATATTTTGGAACGGATTAAACTTGTTAAGCGAGGTTCTACTGCATTTGACCACACAATTGATTTTTAATGCTGAACATGTCATCTTTCGTATTAGATTTTATGATACAGTCGAATATATATAAATATTCATTATTTATAATTCTCTTTATGTTAATGTGTGGATCCATGAGGATCTGTAAAGGTAGTCAAACGAGGAACTTTCTTACTGAGAGCAAGATTGACGTTGGTGTTTATATCTCTATGTGCAAGACTTACATTTCAGGCCCTTTATTCCCTATCAAAATATGATCGATTTACCCATTCATAATTGCCGACGTTGACCTTGAAATCGTGTATACCTATGAGAAAAATAAATCATAATTAACAACAAAATTAGGTATTTCCACGCATAAATGAAAAAATATGTAATAATTGGTATCCAACTTTTGCCCCTAGTCTACCTTGAAAATGTTTGTCATATTTTGAAGAAATAAAAAGCGCAAAATAAACAAAAAAAGTCCGCCAAGTCGAAAATTATATGACAATTATATCACAAAATATCTAACCACAGCATCAACTATTTTGTTACTGATTTTATTTATTTGGACTGACTGTATTATAATGAAATTGTGGTATTCTTAGTCATTGATTTGTTCATTTGTGATGAATTTATCTATTTTGAAAAAATAATGGGGAAGTCCGCAATGTCAACCATTTTATTTTCATGTTTCTAAGCAATATTTCGTCTGACATTTTCACCAAAAAATGTCTGCTCATAATATGAACTTATTTTTACTGATATTATTAATTTTCGTTGACTGTTTTGTAATGAAATTGTAGTATTAATAGTCAGTTAATCAGATTTGTTAAATTGTAATTAATATTTGTCCTATTTTGAAAAAAAAAAATGCGGAAATCTGCCATGTCAACCATTTTATTTTCATGTTTCTAAGCAATATGTCAATGTCAGATGTCATTTCACCAAAAAATGTCTATTTATAATATCAATTATAAATAGATTATAGATCAATTTTAATTTAATTTTCATTTAATTAATTATAAAATTGCTACTTTTTAAATCTAATTAAATGAATAATTTAGATCAAGTTTACTGATTTGAAAATACCTAATGCGGATACTACGACATTACAAAAAGAAGATTAGGTTAAGGAAGTGACGTAACTAGGGTAACCTGACCTAAAAAATAAAAAATTGAAATATAACAAAATAAATTTCACTAAATGTTAAAGAACGTTATCACATCGTTATTAGTGCGGATTCACAGTTTAGTGAATCGAGTTTAATATGTTTTAAAATTTCCGGATTTTTACTCGTATATTGAAATACTCGTATAGAGAAAACACACATAATATGTGTACACAAGTTTTAAAAATGATGTAACGCACGCGAAATCCGGAACTTCACTTTTCATCGTCACTCGTTTTACGAAAACTCGCTCGTTAAGCGAGTCATATTTCTTACAATTAATTTTGCTCGTTAAGCAAAATGCTCGTTTTGCGAGGTGCTTGTTAAGCGGGGTTCCACTGTAATTATTATTTAAATTACAGAAAACAATATAAACTAAAATTCAAAGTTGACAATTCAAACTCAACTCTTCTATAAGAACCGAAGACTTCATTAGTAAATTTAATGTCTTATTAAATATATTCGTAAACATATATCAACAAAATATGCGACAATTCTGAAAAATAACATTAATTTAAATTAATAAATAAATATTAAACTTAAAAAAAGTCAGAATAAAAAATGTTTGTCAATAATATACTTTTTATGGTTGCTAGAATATTGATAGTAAACGAGAATGTTGTTCGTTAAATATATTTATTTTAGTCGAAATAAATTTAGATAAATTAAATCTTTGTTACAAAATGTTGAATACTTTGTAGACTATTAAAGTGTTAAATCGTATTTACTGATGACAAATTGAATAGGAAAGGAAGAAGCGCGAAATTTAAATTTAGATATAAACAACTTTTTATCACAACCGATTCAAAGATAAAAATACTTCTTGGATTCAAGCACCGCATACCAAATAAGCAGCTAAGACGCAACCGATTCCAGGTGAAAAGTGAGTATTTTTTCATTATTTCAACTAACATACAATGTTGTAGGTGAAGATGATAAAGATATTGTCATTCTTGGTATGCTTGTTGGTACTGACTACAGCGCAGAAGGCATGTAAACAGTTGAACACGACGTGCACGTGCCATGCTACAGCCCCAGGTACGATCCAGCTGGAATGCCCATCGGAATACACGAAATATGGGGAATTGGAGTATTACGATCGGAAGGTGAAGGTGGACTGCATATTGTGGACAGTGAACAACGAATTCATACCGGTGCCAATCGACCCCAAACCTACTCTAGATTTCCTCCCTAACCTCAACGAAACCAGCCTGAAGTATTACAGGATCAAGGATTGTGTTTTACCTGTAAAAACGATAGATGCAATTTGGACGCCGTTAGGTGTCCAAAGTTTAGAGGAATTGGTTATCGAAAGTACAACTTTCGAGAATAACACGTTAAATAATTATTATTTAAAAATAATCAGCAAACATCTACTGCATCTCACATTGAGCGATGCTCAATTGGAGAGGATCGACGAAGAAGTGTTCCTCGGTTTGAAGAATCTAAAATCCTTAGACCTCACCGACAACCGTTTGATCATCGAAGAAAACCACTTTACTCATCTGCACAACTTGCTGAAATTGCGACTCCAGAACAATAAGATTACAAACATCCCCGAGAACGCTTTTCAAGGTTTGGTAAATCTCCAGATTCTTGATCTAAACTACAATTTAATATCCAACTTAAAAAGTGACACTTTCAAAGATTTGAGAAACATACGTGCCTTGGACTTATCAAGAAACAAATTACGCTCAATCCCAGAAGATTTGTTCACCACCATGGTTAAACTGGAGACTGTGATCATCGAGAGAAACGAAATCTCTCAAATTTCTTTACAATTATTCAACAATAATCCTATGTTACGAAACATTATTACGTCAGATTCAAATTTGACAGCTCTCCCTGACACAACTTTTTCCAACTTCAATCATCTGGAATTAGTTTATTTAAGCAAATGCATGCTTAAAAATGTATCGCATACTCTTTTCCAAAATTCTAGTAACCTTGAGATGATTCATCTGGATGGTAACAGCATTGAAACGATACCGGAAAACCTGTTGCACGGTTTGCATAAGTTGCGTGAATTGAGATTGAGTGGGAACAAATTAGAAACACTTCCAACTCATTTCTTGAAAGATTCTGTGGATTTGGTGGAATTGCGTTTGAACGGTAACAAATTTGAGATAATCCCTGAAACTGTGTTTCAGAATTGCACTGAACTAGAAGTTTTATATTTAAACGATAATGATATTAAGAAATTAGGTTTGAACGTTTTTCGCAATAATAGAAAACTGAAATTTTTGGATTTATCCAAGAATTATTTGAGCATAGAATTTGGCGCAGGTTCTCCTTTCGCGTACGCTCCGAATTTGGAAAATTTGAACCTGGCTTCAAACCGAATTTCCTTCCTCCACGAAGACTTCAAATACAAAACGAACCTGAACACGCTCAATCTGGACAACAATTTAATTTCTAGCATAAATGTAAGTATTAAAGTTTAAGTTTATTTGAAGAAATGTTACAAATTTAATTTCAGTACCGACAATTACCGAATCAGTCTCCAGAAATTGATATATTCTTGCGGAGTAATTTAATAAACATCATAGATTTATCGTGGGTCGAAGATTTGGTCAATGATAACGTTTTGACTCTGTTCGTGGAGGATAATCCAATAATCTGTGATTGCAGAAACTACGATCTCTTCCGTTACTTCAATTTGAGTATAAAACCATTGGTGCATTACCATCTACACATTGAAGCGGATAATCTGCTTTGCGCCGAACCAGAGGATTACAAAGAGATTGAAGTGGTTAGAGTTGATCCAAAAGATGTAACGTGCAGAGTTGAAGAATGCCCAGACCCGTGCGATTGCTTCTACGAACCGCACAATATCCAATTCATAATTGATTGCAGCAGTAGAAGACTATTAACAATTCCGGTATTAAAAAGAAAACCCAAAGATGTGCACTTTAATTCCATTGCGGTTTATTTGCATAACAATTCTTTGGTGAAAGGTCCAAGTAAAGGTCAAGGATACGATGGGATTGATGTACTGAATTTATCCAATAATAAAATTAAACGATTGGTGTGGATTCCGGATGATTTGAAAGTACTTATTTTATTTTTGATTTCAATAAATTTGTTATTTTAATTGAAATAATTGCAGGAGTTAAATATTGAAGGGAATTATATCACGTCTTTGGGAGCTGATGTAATCAATAAGTTGAATATTACGAACGCGTTTTTAAGAAATAATCCGTGGAGTTGCGATTGCGACGTTTCTTTTCTGATGGACTATCTGAAAAATAATCTGGTTCCATTTAAAGTGAGTAATTTTTATAATTTCATCTTTGATTTCTTGTAGTAGTTTCTTTGTTTAAATAATGTAAAAGATTTAATAGTTTTTTGTTGTTGTATACATTCATTAATTTTACGCAGAAGTTATGTTACTTCGTTAATGAATGTGGAAGTAAATAAACTTCAATAAACTTTGATTAGACATTCTGAATTGAAACTTTGAACATATCTTGTATACGTGGGGTCTAACAAAAGTTCGTTAAGTTGGCATTAATTTAGTTGTTTCTGGAAAAACAAAAGTTCTTTTTTAATTTATTAAAGTCTAAAGTTATTTCATGCCAAATTTCAAGAAGATCGGTAAGAGTTGATCGGAGAAAATGCAAGATTAGTGATGTAAGGTTGGTAGAAATTCCACCACCAACACAGCAAAAAAATGTTTTGCCATACTCTACGGATTTCGACGTCAATTGAAGCCTATGCAAATTTTCCAGAAATGCCAAAATGTATATGGAGTGAATGCATCATCCCTTGTAACTATTTCCAAGTGGTTTTAAAGATTTTAGACCGGACATTTTTCTGTGGAGGACGAATCTCGTGAAGGTTACCCGAAATCTTTGACCGATGATAGAAATGTAGTCCTAAGATCTAAAGGCGATACAAGAAATGGTAGTTGAAGAACTGGGCTTGAATGCCATGGCTTTGTCTCAAATATTAAATCATCACTTTGGTTGCATGAAGAAATCCGATGGGTTTCACAATTGATTCTATAAGTTTGACCCGCAAATTAAGCAAGACAACAGGGTTAAAGTGGAAGCTGCTATTTCACTAGAAACTGATTAGAGAGTACCTGCTAAGTAGTACACAGAAACTTACTTACCACAAGTTTTCAAAAATTTGTTGGGACTATTTACATTACTGAAATAACCAATAACTTTCTTGCGCTCTTTGGCATCCAGCATCTTATTCTACCGACCTAGGGACTTGTGATTTCTAGCTCAACATTAAATAAAATTGAAGTAAAGAGTCTTCATTCCTAACAAAGAGATTATTAATAAAAAGTTGAAAAGCTGAAAAAAAAACTATATTGAGGAATGTCTTGAAAGGCTCTACTGACTTAAGAAATGTATTGAAATAAATGGATATTATGTAGAGAAATTACAAAAGTATGAAAATTAAAAATATTAAACTAAAATTGTTATTATTTTGTTTTTTTTTTCAGCCAACTTAGCGAACTTTTGTCAGTGGGGTCTGTCTCCAATGTGATTTTTTTTTTAGTTTGTCCCATCAATATCATAATAAGTTTCTTCATATCGCTAGTGGTAACTTCCGCCCACCGTAAAATTACCGAGTTATTATAAAATTGTTTCATTTGACAGTGGTATAAATTGATTTGAGAAAAAGTAAATCCGTTACTTTACTAATACTCGGTGTATCATTAAGTCGGACAGTTACATCCGAAATATTTGAATAATCCTCCAAGATTGGTGTAATATTAATTCACTCTTCTTGGAAATCACTCTCATATTCTATTACATTTCTTTTGACCCGTTTTGGTGGTCTAATATAACTGTATATGAATCACTGCAATTTATTTAAAAATCACTCGGACAATCAGATAAAGCATTTTTCACCGTCACGTTCCGCGTTCCGATTACCAAAATTGTACCAAAACTTAAGTACAAAGAAAAGTTTTTTTTTATAATAAAACTTTATAATATTACTATTTTGTATGTATTTTTTCTTAATTAATTCCACTTTACATATGAACAATAACCAATGTTTATGCCGAATGTAAGAATAAATTAAGACTATGAATAATACTTTTTTTCATGATAAAATACTTGATTTGTAATATTTAAAGTTTTTAAAGCAAAATCACTAAATCATGTAGTTCAGTTTTCTATCTACCGTGTAGAGAAAATCGTGTAAATCGAAATTCTAACTTTTTTCATAATTTCGTTGTTTTTTTATTAATTAAACAAAACAAATATATTGAAAGGCAAATGTTCGTTTGGATCATAACCAGTTTATATTTAACATTCATTTTTTTTTATTTTAATCGTGTAAAAGCGAAAATCTGTAAAAATGTACCGTGTAAAACGAGGGACAAGTTATTATCAACATTTGTTTTTTAATTTAAATTTGTTTTAAACTATGTAAAGGAAGTACCGAAAGTACCTACTTGACTATTCGACATAAAGTTCTATCAATATTTACAATTAAGTACAAATGAACAGTATTATAAACGTCTTCAAAACGAGCAGGATTAGGAGAAGGTTCATATTTATTACCGTGATAAATTTTTCTTTTGCTGAAGAATTGTATTTATGCTTAGAACGTGTCTCTGAGCATAAAAATGCCCCTAGCATAAAAATTTACACCATTTTTCATCATTGGTGTAATTTACAATGATGGAGTTATCATCAAAGAATTTATAAAGTTTTGTTAAAAAACTTTTCTATGCTTTTTTTTAATTGCATTTAATGGAATTTTGCAAAAACCCGAATAAGTGGAAAACTAAAGGTGCACATCTGGTGGGTGGACTAATAAAACTCAACCTAACTCCAACAAATTCACTAAATCAGGTAGTTGTTGTAGAGGTTAAGCAGTATTTATCCGATATTTCTTTGTAAACATTGATATTTAGAAGCGCATACAAAGAAACAGTATCAACATGATGAGAACTAGGAGAAAGTTCATACTTATTGCTGTAATAAATCGTTTCCCTTCTACTAAAGAACTTTATTTATTGCGAGAAAAGATCACCCGCTTTACCGTGACTTTATTCCTTAAAAATTATTTCTAAATATAAATATGTTCTTACATTTGTTTTTCCATTGTTCATATTTTTCCAATTAATTAATCAAAATATAATTAAAAGATAAATTACAAATATATTTAAATTACTCTGCGTTCGTTTTAGATGTGCTTTTGTATGTATACTCTTTATTTTAGTTTAACTTTTTCTCCAAATTATTAAAATTTTCACCCAAAATTTAACTTCAACTCCAAAAATTGAATTTTCCCAGAAAAAAATAGACAAAAATAGGCAAATTTTACCATCTGATCTAAAAGATTAAAAAATATTTGCTATCACGGTATCTTGCGATGTGCCTCAATTAAAATATAAAGAAGATCTTGCAACAGATTTTCCAATATAAAGTACAATTTTCACAAATTCACAGCAAAATCAACAAAAAAAAAACATGGAAATAAGCCATTTTTTTTTGTGAAACATTTTAATTAGTGATCCCAACATTTAAAAAAAAACACTGAAATGTTAATTTCTATAGTTCATATAATTATAAATTATATTAAAATTTACTTTGTTTAACTATATTTTTACTTTCATTCACGTTTAGTTAATTACTCAAAAACTAATCAACTTAAAATATATATTGAACATATTATTAAAGACTAAACTATAGAGAATATTCGTAGTATATTAGCGTAATAAGCTTCCGATAAAAATATATTGATTACAAAGAGTAATGAATAAGCAAAAACTAGTAGATTTTTGTTCCAATTTTGTCCACATTATGAAATAAAGCATAATGCTACTTTTACGTATATTTTGGAATATATGATATTGTTTTAATTTGTTTCAGAAAGAAATAAAATGCGCTGAAAGCGGAAGACAAATACACAACTTGCACGAAGACGATGTTTGCGCATCGAACAAATTCATGCAATTATCCATAATAATTATCGTTCTTTCCCTTGTGACGATTGCAGCGCTAATACTGCTACTTTACAACAAATACACCACAGAGATTAAAGCATGGCTCTATGCACACAGCATGTGCTTGTGGTTCGTAACTGAATCTGATGTGGACAGCGAGAAGACATTCGACGCCTTCATCAGTTATTCCCACGCCGACGAAGAATTCGTAATCGGTGAACTGGTTACCAAACTGGAAGGTGGACCTAAACCCTTCAAACTTTGCGTTCACATACGGGATTGGATGCCCGGTGAACTTATAACCTCGCAGGTGACGCAGAGCATCAAAAATTCCCGGAGGACCATCGTCGTGCTCACCGCTAACTTCCTGAAGAGCATTTGGGGAGCGTTGGAGTTCCGAGCGGCTCGCGTTCAAAGCCTTCTGCATAATAAATCCAGAGTTATCATCATTATGTACGGAGATATAGACCTGGAATCTATACGTGACGAAGATCTCAAATCGTATCTAAGAACTAACACGTACATTAAATGGGGTGACCCATGGTTCTGGCATAAGTTGCAATATGCTTTACCGCACAAATGAAGCTAAAACCTGATGTTTTGACAGACTATTTGTCAATGTTTATTAATCAATTAACACGCCATCTTATGGTAATTTACTATGTCCGCATCTTAAATTATGTAATAAAATTTTAACTTGATTGCTTTGGGTTTTTCTTCGAGCATCCCCAAATTACTGCGAATAACGTTGTACATAATAAACGAGTTTTCCCGTTATTAAATTTTGTTTTTTTTTCTTAATTACAAATCGAACTCGCGCAGTTCGTGCTTAAGTTCACGTATCAATGGAAAATACACGTAATTATTGAGAATTTCCAAGTATTCAATGAACATTAATTTATTCCATAATAATTGGTGTTCAGTGCAAAATAAATTACTTCTAGCATTTTATTTAATTGATTGTAAAATCATCAGGCAAATTAAA